GGGGGGGGCAACCCCTCCCTCACCAATCAATCAATCAGTCGATCAATCAAAAAAAAAAAAAAATCCCTCATTTGGTCGATAAAAACTTCAAAACCTGAAAAACTTCAAAAACGGGGGGGCGGAATATGGGGATTTTTTCGGTCGCAAAATTATCCGCCCCCCCTCAAAAAATCCCCATATTCCGCCCCCCCGTTTTTGAAGTTTTTATGTTTTTTTTTTTTTTTGTGAGGGGGTAGGGGAGTCCCCCCCGACTCGAAACCCACTCACCGCTCCCAAAAACCCCTCCCCGATTGGGCACGGCCGCGCCTGAAAGTTCTCGGCCGGAGCGGCCGTGGCCGGGGGGGTCCCGTCCACGGCCGGCGGCCGCCGCTACGACCAAACTCGGCCGCGGCCAGGGGGGAACATAGCCTGCGGGTACTTCAAAAGGTCCCTGCCAAACATTGGCAAGGGTCCTGTTGGCAGGAGAAGGGTAGTCACTGGACTTGTAGTAAGCAGGCCAGGTATATATGGTGTAGCTTCGAGTTCAGGTCCCATGTGATTTCCAGGGCTTCACTCCATTACTCACCAAATGTGCAAAACTGGAATGAATCTTCTCCTAGGAACTGGAACCATACAAGACATATGTTTTTCTTATGTGATGAGTAAAGCGAGGCCCTTACGGCCACTGCACGTAAGAAGAGGGAAAACCAAAAAGTGAGACAGCTACTGCTGTGTTTGTAGTAATTTTGTAACCCCTAACATTGGCCTAAACCCTGCCGGCAGTTCAATAAACATCCTTCCAAAAGCATGGGAACCCTGCTGATTCTTTGCAGGGGATCTTTTGGAAAAGAGAATATGTACACTTAGTACGAAGTGGCCCCAACATTTTTTTTTTCTTCTGTGCACTTACAATTTTCAAAAGCGAGGGACACTTATGGTTACCACGGTCTACCCTTTCTTTTCTTTTCTCTTTTTTTTTTTTTAAATGCGCTGCATCATGTGTGCGCATGTACTATGCGGCGCACGTGCAACTTTCGCGCACGTGATGCGCTGCATGCAAGGAGCATTGACCGCGGGAGGTTGATGGTCTGCTGTGCTGCGCGCCGGATTCGGGGTCGAAGTTTTGACGAGTGGCGGTGGATGAAGGCCATCCAGGGCGGGGGAGTATGCAGAGGGGCGTGTGTAATGAAATATTCATTGTGCGCCACTAAACGAGAGAGTGGGCCCATGGGGTCGGGCGGCGGCGGATGTAGATGCGAGGGAATATCTTGAAGTGTCTGTCGTCGATAAGCGCCTGCCGTCGATAAGTGGCAGGTGCTTTTTTTTTTCTTGTCACTTAGCGCAGCGCGGATTTTTTTTTTTCTTTTTGTTTGTCGTTCGTTGTTTTCGTGCCACAGTTTTTTTTTTCTTTCTTTATTTCTGTTTGTCGTTCGTCGTTTTCGCATCTCGGAGTCTTTTTTCCTTTCTCTTTTTCGTTCGTCGTTTGGCACGGTGCGAGTTGTTTTTTCTTCTTTCTCGTTTTCGTTCGTCATTTTTGCGCCTCTTTTGTTGTTTTGCATGGCGCAAGTTTGTTCATCGAGCAAAAGGTATTCGTTTTCTGGCGGCTCCCACCCCCCGCCCGCACGTACACACCCATCCACCCGCCTGCCCGCACGTACACACCCATCCACCCGCCCGCCCGCACACACACACGCACCCACCGACCCACCCCCCACCTGCACAAACATGCACCCATCCACACACCCACCCACGCGTTGCTTGCACAGACATGCACCCACCAACCCACCCCCTGCCTGCGCTCACACACATACACACACGCACACACACACACTCACCCACCCATCCACCCACACCCACCCACACACACACACACAGATATTAAGATTAATATTATGAAGTTCGCTGCTAATGGTTGTCATCGGGTTTTGAATGAGATAGGCAAGTGCCTGCTCTGATAACTACTCAGGTCGACTAGATCCCTGTGCCTTTTGGGGGACTGCTTTTTTATGAAGTGTCTCTGAGGTCAGGCAGCTGGCATGTCAGGATGTGCTTGTGTGTCCAAACCCTAACGTGCACAGTGTGGCAGGCGGGTCCAGTCCCACAATTTTCAAGCGTTAACTCTGGTGATTTTTTGCGCACAGAGAAATTGAAAAAAATATATATGAAAAATTGAGATCCTGCATATTAGGTTGTGATCTTTTCAGGAAAAATATTAAAACGATAAAAAAAAACTAAATTTGACCGTGAAATAAATATCGGGCCTTTTTGTTGCATGCTCCATTTTTGCCATTTTGGCATGTGTTGGCCGATGGGAAAAGTACCCCAACTTTCACATTTTTTTGCGCTTAGAAGGATGAGTTCACAACTCTGCAAATTGAAGGGCTTGTAGATTTTGCTGTGATATTTTCACAAAAAAGTATAAAAAATAAAATAAAAATATTGAAAATCGTGAAATAAATGCTGTGCGAATTTGTTTTATATTTCATTTTTGCTGTTTTCGCTGCTCTATCACGTGTCGGTCAGGAAAGCCCCCCAACTTTTGTGATTTTTTGCGCTCAGATGGATGACTCTACAACTCTGCAAATTGAAGGGCCTGTAGATTTGGTCGTGATCTTTCTATGGAAAATGTTTAAAATTTTTAAGAAAATATTTAAGAACGTGAAATAAATGCTACGTCAATTCATCCTATATTTAATTTTTGCTGTTTTTTGCTGCTCTTATCACGTATCGGCCAACGGAAAAGTACCTTAACTTTTGCGTTCTTTTCTGCTCAGAAGGACGACTCCATAACTCTACAAATTGGTCGTGATACTTTTACAAAAAATATTTAAAAATTAAAAAAATATATATAAGATCGTGAAATAAATGCGGTGCCAATTCGTCCAATATTTTATTTTTGCTGTTTTTTGCTGCTCTATCAGATGTAGGCAAACGGGATAAAAGCTTCAACGGTTTTTCCCGTTTAATACAATACTTCAAGAAGTTTGGACATTGGAGGGTATGCAAATTTCGTCGTAACACACACACACACGTGACACCCACATACACACACACACGCACGCACACACACGCACACACACACACACATACAAACACACACACGCACACACACGCACACACACACACACACACACACGCACACACACACATACGCATGGGGGCACATACACACACACACACAAACAGACAAACATCCATACACACACACGTGATACTCACACACACACACACACACATTGTTTTACTCCACTTTACTTTTATTCTACGACAATCTACTCTACTCTACTCCACTCTACTCTACTCTACTTTACTCTAGTCTACTCTACAACTCT